TTCTGGAGGGCCACTTTCACATCCTTGTTCCGCAATGTGTAGATGAGTGGGTTCAGGGCAGGGCTGACCACTGTGTAGAGCACAGTGACCAGCTTGCCCTTCTCCATGGAGGCGCCTGAGCCCAGAAGGACGTAGGTGTAGATGACAGTGCAGTAGTACAAGGTGACCACCAGGAGGTGGGAGGAACAGGTAGAGAAGGCGCGGCGCTTGCCTGCTGCTGAGCGGATGCGCAGGACACTGGCCACGATGCAGCCGTAGGAGGCCAGGGTGAGCAGGAAGTTGACCACGCCAAGGTAGACACCAGCAATGACCACCATGACATTGTTGAGGGTTGTGGGGCTGCAGGAGAGCAGCAGCAATGAGGGAATCTCACACAGGAAGTTCTCAATGTGGTTGGGGCCACAGAAGTTCAGCTCTGCCATGAGGCCTGTGTGTACAGATGTGTTGACCACGCCAGCTGCCCACACAGCCACGGCCAGCAGAGTACACAGAGGCTGGCTCATGATGGCACTATAGTGCAGTGGCCGGCAGATGGCCACATAGCGGTCAAAAGCCATGGTTGTGAGCAGCACCAGCTCAGTGGACAGAAACCAGCCCACAAAGAAGAGCTGGGTCAGGCAGCCCCGGTAGGAGATGGTGGCCTCCCCGACCACCAGGCTCTCCAGCAACTTGGGGAGAACAGTAGTCATGCAGAAAATATCCAAAATGGCCAAGTTGGCAAGGAAGAAGTACATGGGAGTGTGCAGGCCTGGGCTCAAGCTGACGGCTGTGACAATGAGGGCATTTCCCCCAAGGGCCATCAGGTAGAGGAACAGGAACAAAGCCGACAGCAGAGCCCGGGCCTGGGGGTCTTCTGAGAAGTGCTGCAGGACGAACTCCACTACAGCCGTGTGGTTGCCTGCTGCCATATGTGCAAACCTCTCAGGTCCCTGGGCAGAGGGGAGCACAAGTTGTGGATGAAATGGTCTCAGCCATGGCCCAGCTCAAACCCCACTTGTTGGCAACATCTCCCAGAGGACACACTATGCTATTAACATGTCCCTGTATCCTGGCAGCCAAAACCAGACTATAACCACTGCCACGGAGTTGATTTGAACTCATAGTGAGCCTTTAGGACACCATAGAGCTGCTCCATAGGGTTTCCATGGCTGTAAATCTTTATGAAAACAGGTAGGTTCCAACCGCCAACCCTTTGGTTAGCAGGCAATTGTTTTCATCACTGCAGCACCACAGCTACTATCCTAGGGGCAGCCAAGAAAAATCTTGCACCCAGGACCCTGCCAGGTGGTCACACCTGGTCCTGAAAATACCTCTCCCCCACAGCTTCACATACAGCAGATTTCACAATGAGCACAGAATGAGCCCATGTTCACTTTAATTTAGAATATTTCCTTCTTTTTTCTGGGAGCCTACTGGTCTCACCCTGCTTCTCAATGCCGAGGATCACCACTGGCTGGCCAAGCTATGCTCTGGGACTCTGTGTCCCAGGAGGAAGAGCCTGGGATGCAACCAGGACACCAAGGGCTCTGCCGTCCTGGGGAGACACAGCATCAGAGTGGGAGGGGTGGTAGAGTCCCCCACAAAGTCACCTGAGCAGGCACTTTAGTCCCAAGATGACTGTCCAGCCAGCCTCACCCACCGCAGGCTGCTCACCAAGAAACGGCCAACACCTCCCTGGGGGAGGTGTGGGGTGTGCTCCCAGCCCCAGCGTGTATCAGGGGCAGTTGAGCCTCCTGGCAGAAGCCCTGGATGCACTTCCAACCCCATCCTGTTTCTCCTTGGCTGGTGGGAAGCCCATTCCTTAGGGAGTACCAGGGCTGGGGGCAGCAGGAATGAGCTCATGGCAAGCCTCACCAGAGCTCTGTGAGCTCTCCATTGATGCAGGGATGCCAGGACCTCTGACCCAGGTTTCTAGGCAGGCCCCCACACATGGTGCAGCTAGATCCACCAGCGCCAAGTGTCCTTTCCTTAGAGTCATTGTGATCACCAGTGGGGTTAGGAGTGCCCAAGGTCTTGCCCTGGACGCATATGGAATGGGCTGAGGGATGTCCCAAGCACAGTGCCCACCCGTGTGTACTTTCTAAATGAAGCCTTGCCTCCTCCACAGGGTAATGCAGACAGGGACTGCACATACACGGGGCCATGTGCTTAGCCTTGGGGAGCTGTTCGGCAGAGCTGAAGGATGGGAAAGCTCTAGCCCTTCTGAGCGCGCTGCTGGTTGGCTAATCTTCCTTCCTTCCTTATGCTGTGGAAGAGCAAGAACGGCAGAGCCCGCAGGGAACCACAGCACTCACTCCACAGAACAGGAGAAGCCCGGCTGCAGGATGAGGCTCACCACGGGGGCCCTGTCTTTGAGGGTCCTTGTCAGCCGCCCAACTTGGAGCACGTGGATGCCCCCTCCAGAACCCACCAAAACCCTCCACATGCATTGGCAACAACTTCACACCCTCCTCTGGCCTCAGCCCCCAAAGACTGAGGACTGCTCACCTACCAATCCACCTGAGGCCCTGATGCTTCGTGCCCCTCCCATGCACACTCCCACCCTTGCCTCCCCTACCCCTGAGCTCCTGCAACAGATTCACAGAAAACCTGGCAGTGAGTCCTGAGTCAGCAACCTCCCACTCCCTTAAGAGACCACGACCTACTTTGGAGATCACCGCCCTTGATTCCCCTCTCACCAGTAGACAAACCACACAAATAGTCAGAACTCAGCACAGATGGGTGGCAGATCTGGCACTTTACAGTTTCAAAATGAAATAGCAAAAGATATGAGCAAAGCACTTTAGGAGTTTGTTTTTGTTTTGTTTTTGTTTTTCCCACAGTAACGTCAGAGCAAAAAGAAATCAGTCTTTCCAGAAACATCCAAAACAAAATTAGGACAGATGGTCCAAAAGGCCAGGGGTGGACAGACAGACTGCTGTCTACTGTGGCTGTGTCCACTACTAATATGAGACACATCCCAATCACTTTCTGTCTGAACGTGATGCCACCCTCACGGAAGCCGCACAAGATCTCACGCTGGTGGGGATGCTGCGATGTGACCTGTGCCGAAAGCCCTGTGTCTCACTGCTCAGTGGCTCCTTTGTTTGCTGTTGACCTTTAACTGGTGGCCATTCCCTCAGGGGGACACTTCATCCCGGTACCTGCCAGGCTAGGCCCTCGAGAGCAATTACATCACCTTGAGATAGGTGGTCCCATGGGGTGCAGTCCAGGGCTAACTTAGTTCAATGGACCAGGGCACTGCAGGTAGTTGGGGAGGACCTCTGATGCCTGTCACTGATGGGGGGGGGGCGGGGGGGTTGCTGCTTGCCCCATGGGCTTGGCCTAGTGGCTGAGCACACTAATTCCTCACTGGAAAGTCCTTGCCACAATGACTCAGACGAGAGCCTGATTACAACCCCTGCAGGAAAGGCAGACTTCTGTGTAAACTGTCTGTAGTTTTTGGAGCAGCTTTAGAGTGACAGAAGAGCCGAGAAGATGGGACCAAGATCTCCAGATGCCCTCCAAGCAGGTTCCCTGCTGTTAACATCTTACAGTAGGGTGGGACATTTGTCACAACTAATGGGCCAGTATTGATACATGACTTTTAACTAAAGTCCACACTTTATTCAGATTTACCTAATGTCCTTATTCTGCCCACCTAAGGCCCCACTCAGGACCCAGTTAGCTGCCATGTCTCCTCAGGTTCATCTTGGTTGTGACAGTTTCTCAGACTTTCCTTCACTGGTGACATTGACAGTTTTGAGGAGAACTGGCCAGGTGCTTTGCACAGTGAGTCTGTTTAGGGATCTGTCCAAAGTCTTTCTCCTGATGATGTTAGGGCTATGGGTTTGGGGAGGGAGACCACAGAGTGCCCTACTCATCACATCATATCAAAGACACAATCAACATTGTGTCTCTGTCTCTTTATTCCATCAATAAACACGTATTTCAACATATGTAGTTGTTGTTGTTGTTGTTGTTATGTGCCGTCGAGTCAGACCCAACTCATAGCGACCCTTCCTTGGGTCTCCGAGGCAGTATCACTACAGAAGTAGATTGCCCAACCTTCCTTCCGAGGAGTGACTAGTGGGTTTGAACTGCCAGCCTTCTGGTTAGCAGTTCAAGATGTGACAGATGATTAATAATACTCTAGGTAACAGTCAATATTGCAATAGATTTCCAGCAACTTAAGCATTTGAACAATTCTGTTAATGTTTGGATGATACATAACCTACAGCTGAATCTCCTTTCCCTAAGTGAACACATTGTTTTTCTAAAGAGATGGTGTTGACTCATAAAACTAATCAGTGACTAAGGGTCCCTCCCACACTATTCCATGGCCCACAACAAGTAACGACGATTTACACAGATGAGCCTCCTGACCCCTACTGACTGGTTGATCACATTTGTGCTGAGCACCTGCCACACACACAGAATTGTCTGAGGGCTGTGAGGGGGCTGCCAACAGTGGACCAGTCTCTTTCCTCCGAGGTCCAGGGTCACAAGGAGCCGGTAACCCAGGAGGCCAGCTCAACACTATGTTGACTCAGCCCAACAGGGTTAAGGCTCTCTCTGTGCCAACTCTGT